TTTGGAACAAAAAAAAAAAAAAGAAAGAAAGAAAGAAATGTGAGTTTCCTATTGGCCTGAATAATATTTAGGCATATGTTTATGTATTTCAATTTTTTTGAATTAGAATAAAACTGTTATTATTTTAGAATTTTAGTATATTTTACTAAAAAAAAAGTCCTTTCAAAACTACCTGCATATATTGAGAACATAAAGATTTTTATTTAAAATTTCCATGATAAATCTATTCTTTTTGCCCCATTTATAATAATTCCTTAAATTATATTCTGAACATACTTTTTGTGGAAAGTAAAAAAAGTATTTAATTTTTAGTTTATAATTTTAAATTTAAGAACATGAACATAAATAAGCAAAAAGTATTTCCTATATAAATTCCATTTGCCCATATTTCATTTATGAATCTTCTTTTTTAATATATTTTAAAAGATTTATTTATTTTTTTATACAGGAACTGGGGTATAGGCCAGATGTGTGGGAGGGTGAGAGGATTCTCCAGAGACAGAGCGAGGAACAGAACAGGCAGACTGAAGAAATGCATTGCTGAGGGGAGCAGCAGGCGAGACAGGAGAGGTCTGCTGCGCCATGTGGGATTCTCGCCAGCCAGCCAGGATCAAACCCGCACTACAGATGCTGCGAACAGCTTCACAGTGCGGCGCTCAACTGCCTACACCACCAGGGAGGCCCAGATTTATTTATTTTTATACAAGAGCTGGGGTACAGGCCAGAGGCACTGAAGGGTGAGAGGACACACCATGGAAAGATTGGAGAGCAGAGTAGGCAGACGAGCGAAATACACAGCTGAAGGTAGCAGCGGGCACTAGAGGAAGGTCTGCCACACCATGTGGGCCTCTTCCTGGCTGGCCGGAATCCAACCCACACTGCAAAGGCTGCAGACAGCTTCACAGTGCTGTGCTCAACCTGCTACACCACAGGGAAGGCCCTCATTTCTGAATTTTCTTTAATGGCGTTTTATGTTTTAAGTCCCTCACTCTATTTTTTTTATTTTGCATCTTTGCATTTTTTTTTTTTTTTTTTTTTTTTATTATTTTTGATAGAGGCATGCTTTATTATTTGTTTGCTGGTTTGTTTGTTTGTTTTGTTTATACATGCACTTACAGTTTTGTACACTGCTTCTGCGCGCCATGTGGGACCCTCCTCCGGTTTTTCAACCGCTAGGCCCGCATCTTTGCATTTTTTAAGCATTTCTTTCCCTTTTCTACTGCTTTCTCAGAGAATAAATGTATACTTTAAAAGAGGTGTTATACCCCCATGATGTTGTAATAACATAACTGTTTTCTATATAAATGTATTATATTTTGTAAGATCCTACCTGTTATATTTGTAGGTTTTTTTTTTTTTATTTTTCATTGTCTCCCAACACACAGATGTGTCTCATTTTAATACTGCTATTGATTTTGCTAGTGCTTTTCAGGATTGCTCTTATCTTTATCATTCTCTTTTCATTTTAGTCATGAGAGAAAAACTTATTTTCTAGAGCAAGCATTGAGAAAAAAAATCAAACTTTGTTTTTAAAGATTTATTTATTTATTTATTTACTTTTGAAAGATTTATTTATTTACTTTTGAAAGATTTATTTATTTATGCATACAAGAGCTGGGATACAGGCCTTAGGTGTGGGGGTTGAGAGGATTCACCAGAGACAGTGGGGAACAGAACAGGCAAATTGAACAAGGTACACTGCTGAGGGGAGCAGCAGGTGAGACAGGAGAGGTCTGCTGTGCCATGTGGGTAGCTCCCTGACCAGCTGGGAATTGAATTCATCAAACTCATGCTTCAGAGGCTGCAGACAGCTTTACAGGCTGTGTCTTAACCCCTTGTGTCACCAGGGAGGCTCCCAAAGATTTTTTTATTTATGCATACAAAAACTGGGGGTAAGCCAGAGGGGTGGGGGTGGATGATTCACCAGAGACAGATTGGAGAGCAGAATAAGCAGATGTATTGAAATACACTACTGAGGGGAGCAGTGGGCTAGACAGGAGAGGTCTGCTGAACCATGTGGATTAGCTCCGTGAGAAGTTGAGGACTGAATTCATGATGTAGTAGCTGGCAGGAAATTGATAGTGCTGTCTTTAAACCCTGCACCACCAGGGAGGTCCCTGTCAAACTTTTGATAATTGTTTTCTTATGTATCATTGATTCCTTTCATTAGACTATGTACTCCAAGAGAGGGAACATCTTGATCAATCTTCAGCTATTAGACTAATGTATCACAATATATAATTGAATGAATGAGTAAAGGATTTAATGTAAGTTATGTTCTGGTATTTTCTAACTTTCCATTGTATGCAAATGAAATCTGTTTATTATGTAAATTTCATTTTCAGATCTTATATATCTTTGTTATTAAGAATTATCTTGAATTATATGTAGTTTTGCGATCATATTTATATGATTTTAAAAGTATGTCCATTTAAACTTAATTCAGTGTTCATTATCACTTATAGTATATAATTTTTCTGTATATTTAGTCTCAAAATTTCTTTCAGCTACACAAATCTTGGAACACATCTTAGTGTTTATTACTCATAATGTATCTCAGAATGACTTCCTTTTTGACTGACATGTTACTAACAATTCAAATGAAAATAATAACATTGGCAATTATTTTTACTAAACAGTACATTCTAGGTATTGATCTAAAAACCAACGTGTTCTAACTGATGTTGTCCTTGCAACTTATATCATTTTGGTTGTTAGAGAACAGATGGGAAATCTGAGCAAAATGAAGGAAAGTTGATTGCATATATTCATACATTTGGGTGGCATAGAAAAGATATTCTGGTTCTTTAATCCTTGCTTTTATTTACAACATTATGCCTCCTGTTTAGACATTCCTTCACTTTTATTGGATTTCATCTATATCAAAAAGATCTCTGTGACTAGTCTGAATTTTATTCTGTTGTAGGTGACTTGTTTTCTTTTTTCTTTTATATTTTTGATTGCTTCTAGATTATTTTTTCCTTCACATTTTCCTTCCACTTTCTCTTTCTGTTTTCCACATCATATTGATTTTCTTCAAATAATTTGCCAGGGTATTATTAGAGTATGTATCATTTTAATTAAAAAATCTAATTACAGTTCTTTTTTGTTTCTTTGTCAAATGTGTTCTTCTCTTTGATTGCTTTTTAATAATTATCTTCCATTTGTGGGATCACCATTTCAAAAGCCACCGGTTACTTATAGTTTTCTTTGAGGATGTTATAACTTCATATTTATCACTTTCTTTGTTATCTCTGTCCTTCTACAGACCTTGAGAGTTGCTCAAGATCTACTCACTACATTTGTGTTACCGTCTCATATGATCAGCACAGTTCTTGATTCAGCTTTTCCTGAATTGGCAAATAAGATCATACAGTTTCTTCAATTTTTGTTTAAAGATCAGAAAATGTTAAAAAGTGAAAATTTGAATGTGTCTATTTCTAACTTACTCCTATCTCAGTTCTCCAATTCATTGTGCTCACATCTTTAATTATAGATCACAGAACTGACAAGATAATTCTTCCTAATCCAAAAATGTTGTTTTTAGACTAGGAAGCTGTCAATTTCTATGCTTAAAGTCACATTGGGTATTTTTCTATTATATAGTAGCTCAGGGCAGGCAAGGTTAATATTATGTCCCAACAATTCAAAAACATATAATTAGACTTTGAATAATGGTAAAATTACTGGGGAATTTTGTGAAGCATCTTCTTATTTTAATTTGCATACTTCTTATGCTTTCATTTGCATACTCCCTCTGTCTGAGACTTTGCAGAATTTTCTCTTTTCCTCTAACCTACATTTTTCTCAGTCACTTAAGTCAGGACTTAAGACTGACAAAGTCAGAATGCTCTTGAGAATGTAATTGGGTAGGACACATATTAAATCAGATGGGATCCTAGGACAAGAGATGCAGCCCATACCGCTCCATACTAACCTGGATGGTGGTTGGCCAAACTTCCATGTATATATAATGAACATGTTTAAATGTGAAACTGTTACAACTGTATCTCAATTCTACTGATAATATTTAGAAAATAATGACTTCTTTACCTTGATTCACATGCCTTAAAATCTGACCCCTGACACTTCAGAGCCCTCGCCAATCTCTATGCTTTGCTTGAATGTTCTGAGCATAGACTGCATTTTGCTTTAGAGATCTTAAAATTGCTATTCATTCTGCAAAATCTTCACATGGATGCTTTTTTCCATAGGTCATCATTACTTTTATCCTCATAGCTCTTACTATCATCCAGAACCACCAACATCATTTATTTACTCCTTTCCTGTCCATAACTGGACCCATAGGTCACATGAGACATTTCCTCATTTGTTTACAACCACATCCCCAGAGCTTAGAACACCGGTTGTTTTCCATTTAAAAAAGGGTGGTGCATGAATGACTGAGCTCTCAGCAAATGAAGAAGGAATTAATAAGGATAATCAATGATGACATGAATAATGATGTGGTGATCCATTTCATTTCATTCTATTGTCATTTTCAATTGTATCTACAGTTTAATGGTTATTTCTAGATGAATTTTAAAATTGTTGCAAAAATTTCCAATTCAATAAATATCTTATACATTTCAAATAAGCAGTCCAATCTCCAAATTAAGAATTCTTTTAGAGGCTCAGATGTTCTACAATAATAAGTAATCTCCTTTAAAGCATGCGTTGATTGCCAAAGTTCATGCATCTTCACGCCATGAAACTAAACTTTGGAACTACTCCTTAATGAGAATGTATGGCCAAGAAAAAAGTGGCAAAATCTCCCACCCTTACATATACATCTCTTGCATATGCATATGCATCTCTTGTCCTTACCCTTACAAATTTTTGATTAGTTATAAATATAATTTCAATTTAACAATACATCTGCATATATTTTAAATGAATATATTATATTATTATTGTTATTATTATTATTATTATCATTATATTACAGTTTTCATTAACCCATACCTCTTTTTATATACTTCCAGGTCCAACTCAACACCATGGATGTAGATAATAAGACCATTTCCAGTGATTTCACCCTCACAGGGCTCTTCACTCACAATAAAGTCTCAAGCTTTCTTTTCACCATCATTTGTGCCATATTTTTCATGGCCATGATAGTTAATGGAGTCATGATCTTCCTGATCCACATAGACCCTCACCTCCACACCCCCATGTATTTCCTTCTCAGTCACCTTTCCTTCATCGACATGATGTACATCTCCACCATTGTGCCTAAGATGCTGATCGATTATCTTGTGGGCAAGGGAACCATTTCATTTGCTGCTTGTACAACCCAGTACTTTCTTTATATGGGCTTTGTGGGGGCTGAGTTTTTCCTGTTAGGACTCATGGCCTATGATCGCTATGTGGCCGTCTGCAATCCTCTCCGCTATCCAATCCTCATGAACCAACGGGTCTGTTGGATGATCTTGGCCAGCTCTTGGTTTGGAGGTGCTTTAGATAGCTTTCTCCTTACCCCAATTACCATGAGTCTCCCATTCTGTGCTTCCCACAAGATTAATCACTTCTTCTGTGAGGCACCCACTATGTTGAGGCTGGCCTGTGGAGACAAAGCTGCCTATGAAATGGTGATGTATGTGTGCTGTGTCATGATGCTGCTGATCCCCTTCTCTGTAGTGATCGCTTCCTACACCCGGATTCTTGTCACAGTACACCAGATGAAGTCAGCAGAAGGGAAGAAAAAAGCCTTTACTACCTGCTCATCACACATGATGGTTGTGACATTGTTCTATGGGGCTGCCCTGTATACATATATGCTTCCTCAATCCTACCACACGCCAATAAAGGACAAGGTCTTTTCTGCCTTTTATACCATCCTCACCCCCTTGTTAAACCCTCTTATCTACAGCCTGAGAAACAGAGATGTGGCAGGGGCCTTAAAGAAGGTTTTGACACGATGTCCAGGGCCCTCTTGTGTGACACGGGATGAATTCTGACTGTCAAAATCTCTACAGATGTTTAGAGGTATATAAATGTTGATACTTGGGTTTATTCCTTGGATAAAATGGATAATGCTTGGAACAACTTCCAACGCCAATTATGCTGAAAGGTGCATCAGCAGTACTTTTGTCAAAAATGTGAGACCCTTGTAATATAATAATCATTCATGAATGATGCCAGAATACCATAACTACCGCTGGTGTTTATTCCTTCTTTGTGTCCACGCATTCCAATTCTTCTCTTATGAGGACTTCTCTGTTATGCAATTCATGTATGTATATGTTCACAAGTGTCTGATTTTATTACATACACTACTCAAACTCTCATAAATGAGTTAGAGATGTTGAGTGCATTATATAAAGGAGCCATCAGTGGCATTTACATGAAGAGTAAGTGTGTGGTCACTTGAAAATTTGAACAATACCATAGTGTCTTGAAAAAGACCAACATTTAGATTATCTCTTTTTTGAGTAGCAACTGAAAACACCCCACCTTTATCTGAATTTGGAGCTGAGAAAAATTGTTAGGGGGAAAAGGACGTCCTAAAGCTAATTCCTTACAGGCTTTGTGGACTCCACCCCCCACTCCAGACCAAAGCCAAAAGACACTGGGAACTCCAAATCCCATCACCACCAAAGGGAAGGTGGCTGGGACCTGAGGGTGGGGTTAAGTAGCCAGGTTTGGTAAAACCGGACACGTGGGCTTTGGAGAAGATCCCCCATTTTGGCTCTCCGCCAGCTCTCAGTTCCGCCAGCTCTGAGAGTGCCTTTGGGTTTCCAGGTCGGCGGATCGGGTAGGACGCATTAATGACTTTATTTCCCTATTTTCTCCCTGAGTTGTACATTTCCTTAATTCCCTTTCCCTTTTAAGTACACCTTTTATTAACCTTTTGCGTGTGCCTGTAGTGGAGTATTAGTAAGTCCCTTTTAAGCACGCGGGTGAGGACCCACAGCCAGGCAACCCGTTTTATATCGGGGTTGCTCCGTAACAATGTGAGTTATATATTTTGCAAAATTGGAAAAACTAATCCTGTATTAGACAAGTATTTTATGACTCTGTATTTGTTATGTGGCAAATAATATTAGAAGACATAGTGAGAGGCAGGTAAATAAAAAGTGGTTGATTAACTCACAAATTCAGTAATCACTTTTCAGTTTCTTCTCCAATTCATTACAATTATTGGACTTCTGGAATACTTCTTTAGATGTTATTGGTGGTATGGTTATTTCTATCAATGTTTTTCTTTCAAAGAAATAATGATCAAGACATTTCCCTTCTCTGCAACACTGGGTTTTTCATTGGATACCATTACAAAATGGGAATATTAGCTTGTTTCAGACTTAGAGATAGAAAATAGAATTTTTTTTTTAATCTGGGGATAGGAAGATATAAATGTTTAGCCTAAAGCAAAAGCATAATTGTAAAATCTTGGACCATATGCCAGACTCTTTGGGCCACCAATGATTGGTGCTATGCCAAGCTTTGTGTTGCCACCAGTGACACCATTCTGACTAGGTCTTGTTGTGCTTTCTTGATGACAAACAATGGAAGAGCTGAGTGAAGTAAACACAGCCATGCCTTTCATCACACTTAAAAAGTTGGTGGTTGATGAAAATTATTTAAGTAATTGGAATAATCGCATTGCAACCTTGTGGGTTGGAATGGCTAGATTAATGGAAAAATGAACCTACTTCCTTCGGTAGAGCTATCGGTTTCAAACAGGGGCATACTTTCTGAGACTCTCTATTGGGAGGGCTTAATCTATTTTAATATTGCTAGACTGGGAATCACCACATGCTGGTTGATAGGAGGGACTGTTTCAACCACACAAGGCAGACATGTACAAAAAAAAACTTAATAAATCAGAAGAGGAGGAGATGAATAACATTGAAACTGGGAACATCAATTTCAACTCCAATTTTAAAGACAATGTCCCTCATGCATGTGTTTGTGAGGCTTCATTTCCTCTAGTGTGAAATTTGAGTTAATGTAATTTTTTCATAAGATTTTAAAAACTAAATATAATAAATGTAATATATGCTAGTCATGATGTTATTATAATTAAATAAATGTAACCCTCCTCTTAATAATATGCTGTTTTTCTTTACATTTTCTACCAATTCTCTTTTTTTCTCTATTACTCATACACACATTAATAGTTTTTTGTTAACTCTGCTAAGGAATGAGGACTGATAATGAGTAAAATTAACAGTCCAAATACCAGAAATTAAATATGAATTTTATTAGGATGATTAGAAAATAATGTATACTTACTAAAACAACTATGATATATCATTGTTGTAATATTCCAAATACAGAAATTAAATATAAATTTGGTTCTCACCTCTTCAGAGGTATGTTACCACACAATGCCAAACACCAAAGCAACAACAATCCTTGACCATAATGTATTATGACCTCTTCCACCTTTGCTAAACACATCCATATCAGATAGATTGATTTCTGTGGTCATACAGTAAAATTAATTTTTGATTGTTTAGTTATGTCTGTTTAGTTATGCTGAGATGAGCAGCAGGTGAGACAGGTGAGGTTTCACTTGTGCCTGTTGGTCATCTGTGCACTTTCTTCAGAGACATGTCAATTTAATTTGCCTTTTTTTATTAGATTATTTGGTTTTTTATTGAGTTGTATGAGTTCTTTGTAGATCATGAATAGCAGCCCCTTGTCAGGTGCATGATGTGCAAATAATTGAAAAAATTTGTCTCCCTCTTTTTCATTTCTGATAAGACATTTATATTTACATGTTACATTTATAACAATGACAACATTGGTCAGACACATTAGAAACTGAGAGGGACAAATAAAAATATATAGCACAATAGGAGGAAAAATTACAAAGATAACTGGACAGAAAACACCAGCTTGCACAGATATATATGAAAAGAGGGAGAGTGAGGTGGTTGTGAGCAGAAATAACCTCACAAAAACAATTCCTAAGCCCAAAAAACAACATACATACAAAAACAATGTCAAAGCAGATTTTCACATCTTCACAAGACTTTATATATATAAGTACTCCTAGACTCAAGCCTTTTACTGGCTCCCTCCCTGTTGCTGCAGGGAGCTAGCTTATCTCTTGCATATCTTGCATAAACTTTCTAAACTCAGTCCCCAGGGTCCATCTCCTTTTTTTTTTTTTTTTTTGTAATTTAGTTTGTATAATTTATGTAATTTGTAAATTTGATCTACCATTTATGTAAATAAATGTAAATACATAACTATAAAATTTCAGGAATTCAGCTTTATACCTAGACATATGCACATTTGCACATGAACAGCCCCAGCTCCAGCCCCAGCGCCACAACCACATCAGTTCATGCCTTCTACCCTTCTCCCCTCCCCTAGCCCCCCCCCTCTGGTAACCACCATAGTTTTCACAGTCTAAGTTAATTTTTGTGTCTTTTGCTCATTTATTTTCTTGGTTTCTTTGCATTCCGCAAATGAGTGAAACTATTCAGTAGTTGTCTTTTTTGACTTATTTCCCTTAGCATAGTCACTTCAAGTTCCATTCACATGTCTCAAAAGGCAATGATTCATAATTTATAATAGCTGATTAGTTTTAGTTTTTTTTTGTTGTTGATATATGTATTTTTTTAAATATTAAATTTTATTTTTATATTCCCCATACAATTGCAATCCCGCCATTCTGACACCAATCCCTCCCCTCCCACCCCCCCCCCCCCCAAAAGTGTCTCTGTTTCATAGTTTTTTGTTGATTTTGATTTTCACATTCTTATAGTTATTCATTTTCCTGATCCCTTATTTAAGTTTTCTAGATTCCTGCTATGAGTGAGACCATCCGGTATTTTTCTTTTTCTTTTTGGTTTATTTCGCTGAACATGATCCCTTCCAGCGCCACCCATGTTGCTGCAAACTGCATGTGTTTATCTTTTTTGAATGCTGAGTAATATTCCATGGTGTATATGTACCACATCTTCTTGATCCAGTCATCTATTTTTGGGCATTTGGGCTGTTTCCAAAGCTTAGCTATTGTAAATAGTGCTGCTATAAACATAGGGGTGCAGGTGTTCTTTGGAATTGATGTTTCTGTGTCCTTTGGGTAAATACCTAGGAGTGGAATTGCTGGATCATATGGAAGCTCTATGTTTAGAAGGTCCAGAAATGTCCACAAAGGTCTCCAAGGTGGCTGGACCAGTTTGCACTCCCACCAACAGTGCAGAAGTGTTCCTTTTTCTCCACACCCTCGCCAACATTTGTTGTTGCTAGTTTTTTTTAATATGTGCCATTCTCACTGGTATAAGATGGTATCTCATGGTAGTTTTGATTTGCATTTCCCTGATGACAAGTGATGTTGAACATTTTTTCATATGCCTGTTGGCCATTTGCATTTCCTCTTCAGAGAAGTTTCTTTTTAGCTCTTCTGCCCATTTATTGACTGGATTATTTTCTTTGTTGTTGTTGAGTCTCATCAGCTCTTTGCAGATTTTTGTGATCAGTCCTTTATCATTAGTGTTGTGTGCAAAAATGTTCTCCCAGTTGGTGGGGTTTCTCTTTGTTTTTGTTATTGTCTCTTTTCCTGTGCAGAAGCTCTTTAATTTGATGTAGTCCCAGCTGTTTATCTTTGCCTTCACTATCACTGCTTTGGGTGATGTGTCTGTAAAGATGTCTTTGATGTGCAAATCACGTAGCGTTTCGCCTATATTTCCTTCTATGTATTTTATGGTTTCAGATCTTATGTCTAGTTCTTTAATCCATTTTGAGTTGATTTTTGTGTATGGTGTGAGGTAGTGGTCAAGCTTCATTCTTTTGCATGTAGCGACCCAGTTTTCCCAGCATCATTTAGTGAACAAACTTTCTTTGCTCCATGCATAGTCTTTGCTCCTTTGTCAAAGATTAGTTGACCATAAATCTGTGGGTTTATTTCTGGATTTTCTATTCGATTCCATCTCCTTAATCTTCTTGGACAGAAGATAAGAACTTGGCCCTGAGATTCTGTGACTCCACATTACCATGA